AAATGTGATATATCCATACAGTGAAATATTTTTCAACTATGAAAAGGAGTGAAGTATACTGCTATGACATGGATGAACCTTAAAAACTTGCTAAGTAAAAGAAGGCACACACAAAAGGCCACATATGACGTGATTCCCTTTATATGAAATTTCTAGGATATGCCAATTGCTAGAGACATAAAGGAGATTTTTGGATTCCAGAGGTTGGTAGGAGGAGGGAATGAGGACTTACTGTTAGTTTTCATGCAGTTTCTTTTAGGAGTGATGAATATTTTTGAATTAAGTAGTGGTGATGAATGTATAACCTTGTGAATTTACCAAAAACCCTGAAATATATACTTTTAAAAAGTGAATTTGATGGTATTTAAATTACATGTCAATTTAAAAAAAAGAATCTAAGAACCTATGAAATTCATAAAGAAGGAATCATTGTGAGGAATCATTTAAGTGACTGAAGAGACATGGCTCTTCGTTGAGTCCACAGCAAGTGTGGGAAACCTCATCCTGTTGCTAGACCTACCTTGGACCTGATCTCATTCAATCTTAGCATTGCTGTGATCATAATGACTGTGATAGGAGAGAAAACCTTTCCCCCTATTCCCTTCCCTGATGGTGGATGCTGTTCTTCACTTTGTCCAAATGTCCCCTACTCCACTCAAGAAAGCAATCTGCTACTTCTTTTTTCCTCCATTTGTCTTTCTCATTCTTTCCCCTCTCTTTTTTTCTCATGCCCCTCCTCTGTCATTCATGCTTTTCTTTCTCTTTTTCCATCTACTCACCTCTCTGTCTCTATTTCCCATCCTTTGCTCCCACCTCTTCTTTCTTCTCATCCTCTTTGTTTCCTCTCTTAACTGGCCACAATGTGGAAATGAAGCATATTTTAAAGTATTTTTGTAACACATGTACTTTTTGGCTGTCTTTGCACAGGTAAAAAAAGAAGTGATTTTGATGTTTAATAATTCTTTAAGAAAAAACAGCTCTAAATTAATTACAAGGTTGGTTTTGCTTTGGGGGATGTAACCAGCAATTAAAAAAAACATTATCCACCCATGCTATATGACTAGTTACAAATAAATAATTGAGGTAAGATACTTTCATGAACATTATAAAGTGATTTGTAAATATGAGTAGATAGTGCGGGTAAACACTGATAATATCTAGTGTGGTGGTGCTCACTGACAGTTCTTAATTATCATTCAGCTGTTTTATGTGTAGACACGCCTGAGTTAACCATTTAGGCTACAAAGCAAAAGCCTCCCACACAGACAGTTTTGTTTGACGCATAAACCTGATCACATTTACCCTCAGGAATGTCATTTTTGAATTAAAAAAACACAGTACGGGTTGCAAGCTCGCCTGTTGTGAACCCATCTTCAGAATACCGATTATTCTCTGTCGTTCATCTGGAAGAACGAGTAAGTACAAAAAGAATACCATTAACCACCAAGTTGTCATCTTCAAATAAAATTCTCATCTCTGGCTTGAATGTTGCAATGAAAGAGTCACTGTTTTCTTGTGTGAATAGGTCAAGAGAAATGCTTATTTTTTTCTTAACTGTCATTTAATGAAAAGAGCCTATCCATTTGTTGACAGAACATTAAGAAAACGAACTGGTTAAGTTTCACAGGACTTCAAGATTGAAATTCTAGTGCCCAAAGTAGCAGTGTCAGAGTGATGAGGCATCCAGATAATGATCTCAGAAACCTTCCCAAACAATGTGACTATTTCAGTAGAAGGACGGAGGGGGGAAAAGACTGAGTTAATTCTTTGGTCTGTCCCTAAGAGGCCATCTATCCTGTCTTGGAGAGACAAAGTGCTTTACTGTGAGGATCACTTTGGTGGTGTATTGGTACAACTCTTACTGAAAGATTAGAATTATTTTAAAATGTTAAGTTTTAGGCACTCTGAGGAGGGCTGAAGAACATGGACTCCCATTGACTGGTTCCAGTAGTCAGCCCACTGGCACCTTTAAGATTCCCCCAGTGTCGTTTGAGAAGCTTCGTATTCACTTGTCTTCCTTAAGCCTCACAAAGGCTCTGTGTCTGGGTCTGCTGGCTGTTCAGCAAGAATGTTTCCTCTTCTTCCTGCACACAACGTTAGACCACATTTCCCAGGCTCCCTTGCGGTTAGTTGTGGCTGTGAGTCTGAATTCCAACCAATGGAACACGTGCAGAAATGATTTGTGCCATTTCTGAGCCAAGCCTTTTAAGAGATAGCTATGTCTCCTCCTCACTCTATTTCTTCCTTTACTGACTGGATGCTGATGAAAGTGAGTCCTCAGGGAAGTGAGGGCTACATGACACCCAGGACACAGTACAAAGGGGCCTGAGGTGCAGGAGAGCCTCCCATCACCCAGAAACAACTTACCTGAGCAAGAAATAAACTTGTATTAGGCTTGCATATTTTATATTTTGAGGTCTATTTATTACAGCTGCTAGGATGACCCTAACTAATAAGGCACTTGAGTAGCTAGCAATTAAAGGAGGCAGCACCAATGGATGTACCTTCTTGAAACTCATGGGAAACATTTCAGAAACATAATCCTTTCACCTTTTCTTCCTTTTGTTTCTCATTTTTAGTCTACCATTGGCTCACTTTGTATTTTCATGTTTTAACTGATTAATTTGTTGGTAGTGATAGCTCTTCTATAAATCTTGTCACCTCCACCCCCACCCCCCAAACACACACCAAATAAGACTGAGTTTGGAAAAAGTCACCAGGCAAGATTTTCATAAATTCTCCAAGGATGAAAATGAGAGTGATAGGAGCTTAGTGAGTGAAAGGCTGAGTGGTGATTAATGGGAGGCCTCAGGGAGCATACAGGGACCTTGTTTCCCGGCAATGATGGTGAGAAGACACAGCCGCTCATTAAGGATGATGGTGGATTATTTTCAGGTATGTTAAGTTTTTAAATTCTCATTCAACAAAATGCACATTGTTTACATTCCATCTACCTGTTCAACTGTCAAAAAGTAGATGTAGGTGTAGCATGAACAGCCAGCTGGATAGCATGTACCATCTAATTCATAGTCTTTTTTTCTTGCTTCTTGGAGATTTTGATTTTATTCAATATGGTAATGGATAGTAACTTAGGGAGGGTTCAAGTAAAGAAACTGATCCAGAGTGCCTACTCAATGGAATTGATCTGGTAATTTCTGCAGTTTAAGAAATAATTTATTTTAAATTGTTTTATTTACCTGGATATAGATTAAAATGTGAACATTTTTATTAAAAACACTGTCTTCAATTTAAAATACACAATCTTTGAAGCATTGAGTTATGAAACAAGTGTATATCACATTTTATTGTAAGAAAGCTGAATGAAAGATTCTGGAAATATTTGTTGAACTCTTCTGTATATCAGGTGCTGTTACACTTGTCTCCCATGGGTCAACCAAATCTACATGTTTTATTTTTCCATACATTTTAGTAGTAGAATATACAAATATATACTAACACCTTCCAAGGTTTTGTGACACCATCTTATATATAAATCTTATATATACTAGGCAGAGTGCACAGATGATAGTAAATCTAAATGAATGAATTTTTATCCCTCTTGATCTTAATTTATTTGTGTCATAGGTCAGGTTCCTGGGAAACAGACTCTGAGATTCTAAGAGAGTCTTTCAGAAGTTTAATTTGAGGGTGCTGTCAGCAATAGTACTTGTGAAGGGTAAGGAAAGCAGAACAGGCAAAGGGAAAAGGTAAACCATGATGCAATTGTAAAAGAAGCCTCAGCTGATCCCATGCGGAACTTAGGAACTGGGATGGTCCTTCAGAGTTGCTCCAAACTGAGACAAAGTGTCTGGGTCTTTTTGGATGCAGGCTGTCCCCAGGGTGGAGCATAATCTTGGGCAAGGTAGCTTCCTTCAGCTGAGGACAATTTTGGAAAAGGAACTGAGTTGTGAGCCATCAGCTGCCAATATCCCTCAGCAGGAGGAGTGAGTTCCTTGATCCAAGAGGGATGTGTTGGGCACATAGCATCCACTGTCAGCACACTATGTGAGATTGTATCATTTTGTTATAAAAAGAGAAACGACAGGATAGAAATAAGCAAAGGGAGAAATGTGGGTAAAAAGAGAAGAGAAGGAAAATAATACATCAGTATTTGGGGAAAAAGGGAAAGTATAGCTTTCACCAAAAGGCCTCATCCAGGTCCTCTTCTTCTGTGAAGTATCAGTATTTGGGAAAAAGTATCAGTATCAGTATTTGGGAAAAAGGGAAAGTAAATAAATCTAAAAATAAAAATTTGTGTGTACCAGCCACTATGATTTCACACACAGCACATTCCCGGGGAAGGTAGTTGCTAAAATGGCCAAGGTCACAGAATGAGAGTTTTGGAAAACACCTGTGAATCAAAGGATTGTGCCATAACCTTCAAAGCACATGAAAATGAATGGAAATGCATTCTGTTAAACTATTTCCTAACAGAGGTCATTCAGTCATAAGAACACTTTCAGAGCATGAAGAAGCAGGTTTGTTGAATATTGATGCTGTAAGTGAAAGAACTTAAATTTAGCAAATTTGAGTCTTGGCTTATCTATGAATTGTCAACTTTTAATCATCCTATGGATGATTTTTGTTTGTTTTTTGTCTTTTGTTTTTGCGGTACACGGGCCTCTCACCATTGTGGCTTCTCCCATTGTGGAGCACAGGCTCCGGACACGCAGGCCTAGTGGCCATGGCTCATGGGCCCAGCCGCTCTGCGACATGTGGGATCTTCCCTGACTGGGGCACGAACCCGTGTCCCCTGCATTGGCAGGTGGACTCTCAACCACTGTGCCACCAGGGAAGCCCTATGGATGATTTTTAAATGATGTCCATTTGGCTTTGGAATTTCTTACAAGAATTTTGGGAGGAGCCCACTGATCATCTTGGTTTGGGTTTCCCCAGAAACGGACCTGAGACAAAAATTCAAGGGCTAGTAGTTTCCTGGGGAAACTATGTGGTTTTCTTTGTTTGTTTGTTTGTTTGTTTTTTTGGTCTTTCAAAAAGCTGTATTTGGCATAAGCTAATGCCACTGCTAGTGCTGCCAGTGGCCAGGCACAGACACAGAAGGTCCTGAGGAGTTGGGCAGAAAGGAGAATGTGCAGGCAGAGCAGGAAATAGCCAGCTCACGTCCCTGTCCCAGGAGCCCAGAAGGATAAAGGCCGTGCAGTAAAGGGTAACATACAGTGCTCCTCTTTGGTCATGCAAAGGCCCTATCATGGGCCTCGGAGGTGAGATGGCTGAGGGGTGCAGGCTCTGCCCTCGGACTCCAAGCTTTAGGCTCATCACATTGAGGTGGTGATGCGGCGAGAGGCGAGGCGAGGAGACAGAGCAGTCAGGCTGGTAATCTCTGGCTCCTAGGAGCTGCCCTTGTCCTTGTCATCCACGAGGTCATACCACTGGACTGCACCCTGGGAAAGGTCTATCTCAGCGAGGTCCAACTGCACCTTCCTCAGCAGCTCATGCTCTCTTGACATGAAGGAGGAACTAGACTTCACAGAGACATCCAGCTTTCGCCGAAAGGCCTCATCCAGGGGCAATTCCCACTCAAACTGTTCATTGAATTCAGGATTTAGGGTCCTCTTCTTCTGTGAGGTCTTCCTCTTGGTGGCCCAGTTCTTGTCTGGCAGTAGCAACAGTGACACGTAGAGGTCGGGGGGATACCATCCATTTTGTCGAAGGGCCCAGCAACTGTGAATGATGCTGATGAGCTTGCGTTCTTCACTGTAGTACCAAACAGTCAGTTTCACCTGGCCCAGAGTCCAGGCTGGAGCCTCAAGGGAACTGTCACTGTGTGTTAGGCGCTGCCGGAGCTCTGGGGCTGAGGAAGTGATGTGAGGGAGTCCCCCCCAGAGCTCTGGTTCTTCGCTCAGAGAAGAAGAGCTGTGGCTGTAGCTGTGGCTGTGAACTTCCACCCCTGAGTGCTGGGACACCAGGATCCCTAGCTGTGCTTGCAGTAGCTCCTGCCCTGGACCATTGCTGAGCACAAACCAGTAGTCCGAGCAGAGCTGGTCAGCCACGAGAAGCTCAGAGAGAGGCAAGGATAACAAGCCCAGTGTGCCAGTCCCCTCACCCGGAACCTGCAACTGCAGGCTCTCAGAGTTTGGTTTCCTGATGAGAGAGGAGGCACTCTCATCCCAGACAGGGGCTGACATTTGGAAAACAGTCTTAGTTTTATGAGAAGTATCTCCCAAAGCAAGAGTACATAAGGGCTGGGAGGCTTGGTACCTTTTCGGAGCTGCAGGTCCTCAGCCTGCTCCAGGTAGACAAGAGAGCAGGGCTGCCGCCAGTTCTGCACTCTTCTCAGTCTGGATCAGACTGTTCATCTGCAGCACCTCCTCTAACTCAGCAGCAGTGGGACGGGGGGTCAGACGCAAGTGTAGGCAGCCAGATGAGACATCCTCCAGGGTCAGCCACTCATCAAGGAAGCCATTGTTTAGGACTGTGGTGAGACTCACTTTACACCTGCCCAGAAAGTCATCCTTGTCCAGGTCCTTGTCAAAAACCTCAATCTCTAGCTCTTGGCCTGGAATTGATGTGACGATCACCTCAAAGACCTCGTTCCAGTGGGGATTGAGATCTTCCTCAACAACGCGGCTCTGGAAGCTTCGTCCTCCCAGATTTAGGAAATGTTAGATGGTAGCAGGTGATGATATAGGGATGGAGAATGCAGCCTATCAAAGGTAGTCAGGAGCTTAACCCTACTGTGAAAAGCAAAACACACTGGAGAATTATCTTGATGGAGGGGCAAGGAAGCAGGGGTACTAGTCACCAGGGCTTATTGTTCTCTCAACTTCAGGTCTGCTTTGTGCACAGGGGGAGCAGTCTCCCTGGGCTTAAGGAAGTGGCTGGGAGGGACAGAGAGGCAGAAACTGACTGTTGGAAGCCTGCAAATCAAGCCTGAGGGGTGCATGCAGGCAACTGTCAAGGCAGCCTCTGCTACATTGATGGTTTGAATGTATTTTTCTTGTTATGATATTAAAGTTGGTTTCCACCCCTGAAAATGTGCCAAGTTGTGGCCAAGGGAGAGAGAGCTGGCTGTGTGCTGAGAAACAGGAGGAAGCCCTTGTGAGATTAGACATTCGAGCATGGGCTGGGCACAGGGCCATTGAGGGTTGACAGCAGCCTGAGCAGGCACTCACGCCATAGGAAACGTCCTGTAGATGAGAGCTCATTATGGTCACCAAAGGTGAAAGGTGGGGGAAGAGATATATTGGGAGATTGGGATTGACATATACACACTACTATACATAGAATAGATAACCAACAAGGACCTACTGTATAGCACAGGGAACTCTGCTCAATATTCTGTGATAAGTTACATGGGAAAAGAATTGGAAAACGAATAGATATATGTATATGTATACATATATATGAATCACTTTGCCATACACCTAAAACTAACACAACATTGTAAATCAACTATAGTCCAATAGAAAATAAATTTTTAAATAACGGGTAGTTTCCTCCAGTCGTCCATTTGGACCATAAGACTCCTGAGCTGGAGAATAATGGCAGAGTGGAAAGTTTTCAGGTGGCAGTTACCTTGGTCCTGTGCCAGGTGTATTACTCACTGCTCACAAAACTCCAGCTGGTATTTACCACCCAGCAAAAGGGGAAAGAAAAGAGAAGTTCTTCTGCTGATTTTCATGTCATAGAAGGCATGAAAGAGGAGACAATGCATTGGGGAAGAATGAGAAAATTTTCCCATGGTCTTCATTTATTTTTATCACAGGATATCAGTTATTTGTACCATTTTAGGGAAAATAAGAATCTAAAGAGTTTTGATTCTTTAACTAAGTTTTGTTTATTAGCCTCATATCTAAGGAAATCACATTTAATCGGCTCACTTCCTGAAGAGCTAGTTTGATATCCTTGACTTAGATTACTGCTGTGCAGTTAGGGTCAGCTTCCCCCCCTCCTCCCATGCAGAGCTGAAGGGCAATGCTGGGGCTACAGGACATGCAGTAAAGGATGAACAAGAGACGTCCTGACCCTGCACATTTCCTTATGCCTTCACTAAGAAAATCCCCCTAAAAATTTAATCTGTTAAAAACGAGCCAGGATCATATTACCAAAGAGGAAGGTGTTTAATTCATTCATTTACCTAACAAAATTTCATGTACTTTATGGAAAAGGTACAGAGAGCTGAGAGGGAAGCAAAAATGAGTGGGCCATGTCTCTAGTCCTTAGGGAACTTATTGATTGAACACGGAAGGCATGAAAGCAATTAATTATAACCCAACACGAAGTGAAATGGTACTCTGATATCCTGTGAGATCATTAGTGGTGATAGCCCTTCTCTCATTAAGTCTTATTACCCTTATATTTCATGCCACTTTATTTAGCAGTTTTTAAAATTTCTGCCCTCAATGGTTGCCTATGGCTTTCCCAGCTCAAATGATAACCTTCTTATGGTCGGAAAGGAGACAGTAAAAGCTGTGCATCCTGATCTTTAAGTGTGTACAAATGCCCACAGTTCTGCACATCCAACAAGCTCCTTGGACCAGCTCTGCTATCCCTTACAGCACTTGCCACACCGTTCAGCAAATCAGATTCAGATTCCAAATTACTTTTGAAACTATCAGTCACTTTTATTGCACCTGACAGGCAAGCTAGGGATTGCTAAAATACAGTAGATACTTCATGTGCTCAGAAAGTTGTAGGGCAAATTGAATGTGTTAGGATACCATCTCCCCAACATTTACCCCATGATGCTATTCTATGTGCACAGGCCTAAAGATTAAACAGAGACACATATCCCATGCTTTTTAAAGGGAACGAAATGTGTCTTCATATTTTACCTGTGGTCCATTTATGGAATTGCTGAGATAACATTCCCCCAGCGTTGTTATATTTGCTTTGCAGAGTAAGTTCTTTTGTAAGGAAGGGTGTGGAACTGAGTGCTGTTAACAGGCCCCAGAACAGCGCTCAGGTTTCAATGCTGTGTCACAATTTTAGAACAACGGGTGGCCAGAGCCTACAGCTAATCTGGTCAAGGCCTCCAAAGAAGCATGCTCAATGCGGGCTTCAGCCTGCTCTGTCTTGATACTTCTGCTCCCCACCTACCAGATTAATATCGAAGGGAATTCTACATGCCTCAATCTTCTGTATCCAAGCTCTTCCTTATACCGTGCAAATCCCCTTTAGTTACCTAGTGCCTCCCATACCTCCCCAAACTGCCCTCTACTGCCTCTCCTTTGACCCTGACTGCTCTCTCTGCCAAATTTTCCAGCCTTTGGAACTTTTCTTCTTCACACTGCAACTCGAATGATTTTATACAACATAGGTCTGATCAAGTCATTTGCTGTCTTAAATTCCTCTAAAAGTCTCCCATTGCCCTCAGAAAATGTTGGAATTCCCTAACATAATGGAGAAAGCCCCCTCTTCCCACTTGCCAGCCCTGAAATGTGTGTTCCTGATCTAGACAGCCTCTTCAGGTCCTGCAATGTCCCATGCTCTCCACCCCTAGTTCTTCCAGGGCTATTTCCTCTGTCTACAATCTTCCTCTGGTTTTATTCCCCCTCTACTTTAGGTTTCACTGAGCAGTCTCTGCACTGGGGACTCCTTCCTTGACACCAGGACAGAAGCTACCAGGGTTTGCTTGTGTCTGTATCAATGCTCTTAAACGCTGCAGGATCATTTCCTCTTTCCTTATCTGCTCTCCCTGTTAACATAGAGTTTCCTGGACAGGCCTTGTCTTTGTCTTGTTTGCATGCTACACACGTGGCCTAGCACACAGTGCATTCTCACTAGGGCCATCTTCAGGAATACTTGGAAGGGAGATGAACATTTGGGCTTTAACGCTTGTCAGTGCAGTCTTGAAATTCTGAATCATTTGTCTTTGGATTTAATGTTTTATAAGTGAAGTCAATGGAATGATGGAGCATGTGCCAGGGACGTGGAGCCTAGGCTCCCACCTGGTCCCACCTAGTTCCACCTGGTCCCTGGGAGGCTCCTCCACCTCCGACCCGTGATCACTGTCTCCCTCGCCCATTCCCCTCCAGCACCCCGCTTTGGTGCAGGAGCAATGAGGGATTGGGCAGGTTCTTGTGCTCACATGTGGAGTCCTGCACAGAGTCTGCAGCATCTGTGAGGATATGCACTCTCTTTGCAAGTACCCATGTGTCCAAGGGGACACGATGCTGAGCCTCAAATAAAAAACGAAAGGACAGGTTGAGAAGGAGACTCAGAAGAAAAAACAAACAAACACTTTTTTTCTCCTTTTTGAACACGGTACCCTGCATTTTTATTTTGCACTGGGCCCCACAAATTATGTAACTATCTCTGGCTCTCCATGAGTGTTCGTTGGATAGATGAATCAGAGGAATTTGATGAGCCAAATGCATGTTTCTTCAAATAATTGGATTTTCCAGTAGTTGTAATTTCCTGTAACATTTTTGGAACTTCTTTTTGAGAAGGTCACCATTTGGTCACAAATATTTTTTGAACATTTATTACACCAGGTCCTGGTGTATAGCAGTGAACTATTCAGATAAGGCTATGGAAAATCTTCATCCTTAAAATTGCTTTGGGGTGGATTTACTTCTCTAAAGAAGTCAGAAGTCTCTGGGGGGGTCATATCTGGTGAATAAAGCGGGCCGTAAAACTAAGTAATATCAATAATACCACTTGGGACTAAAATAAACTTTATAACTATGGAACCATAAACTAAAAACACTGGGTTTCTTATGTGAGTAAACTGGTTCTGAAGATAATTTTCAAATATAAGTTTCAAAAACATTTTGAATTACTTTTAGTAAATGAAGAGTATCTGAAGGGGACTACCTTGAAGCATAAATTATACTTTAAATAATATAGAAACTCTGGAGTAAATAATTTTTGAAGAAAGCTTTTTTGGGTAATTTCTGTGTTTTTAATTTTCTTAAACCTTACTTTTTCATCTAATTCCATACACCTGAGAAATCTGCAGCTGATCAAAATGTGGTTATTAGTAATAACCTGCTTCCATGATCGCATTGTTCTTACAATGTCCATCATGATTTGTTTGCTTCTCTACTAGAGCTTCCAAATTATGATTTTGTTCATCATTTTTGGAGCCCTGTGATAACCTACTTATTCTGCAGTACATCTCCTATCTAGGCTGGTCCCTGTTAGCTGTGTTATTTTAACCTCTTAGCACCTTAGTTTCCTCATAGGATTGTGAGGAATATTAACACATGAAAAGACCTTAGACTACTACCTGGCGAACAGTAAATGCCACATAAGAATTTCATTACAATAACTGCTATGATCTGGCCCCATGCATTCAGGCAAGGTGTAGGCAAAATTGTTCTCTAATGGGACAGACAGTAGATAATTGAGGCTTTGTGGGTCAGATGATCTCTGTCACAACTACTCAAGTCTATTGTTGTAATGCTGAAATCACCCTTAGACCATACTTTTATGAATGGGCATGACTAAGTTTCAATAAAACTTTATTTACAAAAACAGGTGGCCGGTCAGATTGTGCCCATGGGCAATTCAACTGCTGACCATCCCTGCCCCCCACCCACAGACACACCTGAGTGTGAAGGCTTACCCAAGAGTCAAGAGTAAGGAGCAACCGTGACCTCAGTCCTCTGAAGTCCAGGTCACAGTAGTAACAGGCTTC